TAGATAGATAGATAGATAGATAGATAGATAGATAGATAGATAGATAGATAGATAGATAGATAGATAGATAGAAAATTGAATCTTTCCAGGGTTTTAAAAAAATACTCTCATTCTCTCTCTCATTCTCTCTGTCTCTGTCTCTCTCTGTCTCTGTCTCTCTCTCTCTCTCTGATTTATAATTAATAGTATGGTCTAAAAACCTCCTATCTACTTAAATTGATGTGGTCTTAAAACAAAAGTGGGAGACGAACTTGCTCTGGGAAGCGTGGGTCTCTGTAGGAGGGAACGTAAGTTGAACTTTAACAGAAATGGCTGGCAGGCCAGTCGAACGGGTTCCTGAAACATCAAAAGGGTTTTCTATCGCCCCTGGCTTTGCCTAGAAACTATAAATTTAGTATCCTTTAAAATTCATTGCATAAATTTTACATCTGGGTGAAAACTGGGCGCATTTTTGGCATAGTTCGGGGGCAAATGAGCATGGAGAATGAAATGGAACCCGACTTAACACTGATTTATTTGTACGTTTGAGATATTTTGCTTTTACAAATAAATGCGATCTGTAGCGTTCAGTCAAAGTGCTTAATTGCCGCTGTAAACAGACAAATTATAGTGGCTGAATAGTTTATTTATTTATTTTCAAGAGAGGATCAGGAAAACTCCCCCACCCCCCGTTATTTGTTTACAATATATATATATCTATATAGATATATATATAGATAGATATAATATGAACAAAAGCACCAAGAGCAATCAAATTATCTTATTTGGATGCATAATTACATGTAAAAGAAGGAAATATGAGTTTTTCTTAGCCTCTAGCATTGCTCCATAGCACTTCCTTGCTCCAAATCAGCAGTGTCTAGTTTACACTTCTTCCTCTGCCTGAGTTAATTGAAGTTATGTCTTTTCCTTGCTAAACTTCCCCACCCTCCCCCCCGTACCTTCTCCCTCTCTCCCCCAACTCGGCTTCTGCCAGCCCCCCTCCTCTGATTACATCTAGTAATTCTCCACTGAATGAACGTCATTTACAATGGTAGGGGAGCTCTCGAGCGGGCTGCAAGCTTCACGCTCCATTTGGTCCTGCATTCTCCCTTTAAAGTAGTCGTGTAATATTAATAGTCATGAATATCAATTATTATGAGGCGGTGTAGAGGAGGACAGGGAGGAAGGGGCATCGGAGCAGTCTCAGCCTAGCCTTGGGTTGAAGAGGATTGCATCTGGAAGCTCAAAGGGGGGAAAATAAATAAATAAATAAAAAACCAGAGGGGAGGGGGGAAATCTTAGATGTCTACATAGGTTTCCAACCTCATTTTTTGCGGGGGGGTGGCGCACTGGCTAATTTTTTTATGATGATTTTTGATGGCTAGACTTGGAAATACCTCAAGCTGTTCTCCTGTGTCCAACACGTCCCTTTGCCGAGCTCCTTGATATTTTTCTCCTATTATTACTATTATTATTATCAGCACCACTCTTTTATTTGTAGCTGTTACAAGACTTTTTTTTATTTCCAGATGTTAGTCCACACCTATTCCGCCATGGTGAGTTTGGATCCATGTTGTACCAGAATTGCATGTTCTCTCTCTCTCTCTCTTTCTCTCTCTCTCTCTCTCTCGCTCCCTCTCCCCCTCTCTCTCTCTCTTGAACGCCTTTGGCTTGGTAATTTAGCACAATAATTGGAGGAGGCTTGCAGCTGCTTCTCCTTTTTGCATTGTGTGTTCTTGGTTTGAGCTGGGGGGGAGAGGAAAACTTTTTTTTTTTTTTTTTTTTTTTCCATCGCTGGTGGGGATTTGGACAACACTTTGTGGACTAGATATTTTCTTGTTTACTTTAGCCTTGCAGCCTCAGCTAGGATGGAGTTGGACAAAACTCCTCTCCCACACTTTCTCGGAAGACTTTCATATTCCCCCCTCCCCCTATACACACAGCAAGACTTTTGATTATAATTTTAATGCTCCATTCTCCCCCCCCCTTTGGAATATAATATTTGAAAGGGATAACATACATTCGAAGTTGCTGCAGAAATCACAGTGGCTGGATTTGTTGTTTAATATTTTTATATATGTATTTATTTAAAAAAAACCAGAGGGTTGACTTTACATAAAGACACATTTAACATTTATTTTCACCCTCTCCTTGTCATCCGACTATTACAGCATTTCTTCTGACCTTCCAAGGCAGAATGAGTGGGTGATATTTTTTTTTAAACCGGAGTTTAGTGGTGAAGGGGAGTGAATAGATGTTTGAAAACTTTATACGCTGTGGTTTGGAGGGATGCTAGGCAGCCAGAGAACGGATCAAAGCCCCACAAACTGTACCTACACAGAGTACACCACTCCTACATTTTTAATTATGACATTTTAGTATATTTCTCTCCCACCTCCCCCTTCTCGCCTGTCCTTGGAAACTTACATGATCAGGACAGGAAATGCTGGACTATTTCGAGTCCGGGGGATTTAAGGGGTCTATTTAAATGCGTATTTTATTTTATCTTGCGGTGCGATTTGTTTTTCATTTCCTCTTTTTTTTTCTTTCCTTTTTTTTTTATTCCTTTCCCATTTTTGTTTTTAGGACCGGCATGATGGAGTCCCCAGCCACAGCTCCAGATTGTCCCAGCTGGGCTCTGTCTCCCAGGGACCCTATTCCAGCGCCCCGCCGTTGTCTCACACCCCGTCCTCGGATTTCCAGCCGCCTTACTTCCCACCCCCCTACCAGCCTCTTCCTTACCACCAAAGCCAGGACCCGTACTCCCATGTCAATGACCCTTACTCCCTAAACCCCTTGCATCAACCCCAGCAGCACCCTTGGGGACAAAGGCAGAGGCAAGAGGTGGGATCAGAAGCCGGCTCACTGCTGCCACAGCCTCGGGCCGCCTTGCCTCAGCTCTCGGGACTGGACCCCAGGCGGGACTACCACTCAGTGAGGCGGCCAGATGTTCTCCTTCACTCGGCACACCATGGCCTGGATTCCGGCATGGGAGACAGCCTTTCTCTGCATGGCATCGGACACCCAGGAATGGAGGACGTGCAGGTAAGGCGTTCCTGCTCCTTCCCCCGCTACTGCCAGGGAGCCTGAAGAAATCTTAGCAGCTGGGAGACACATAGTCAACAACGATCAATTATGAATCATAGCAATTAGACAACGGAAAGATCTATTAGGTTACCCTCCCCCTGCCTCTTCAGGGTCGTTCCCTACTTATATTTTCCAGTATATTTCTTAAAAATATTTTCTTTCTTTCTTTCTTACACTCATCTCACAATACATTAACAAGATGAAAGGTACAATAATGAAGAAAGAAAGAAAGAAAGAAAGAAAGAAAGAAAGAAAGAAAGAAAGAAAGAAAGAAAGAAAGAAAGAAAGAAAGAAAGAAAGAAAGAAAGAACAGGCGTTTCTGAATAATCTAGGCATTTTGAAAATGGATAAAGTTTATGAAAGCTTTTCTTATTTCAGATATTAAGCCATGTGAAATATGGGTCTCCCAACCAGCTTTTTGCAGTTTTGGGGTTTCAGTGAGATCTTTCAGAATAACAAATTTAAAAAAAAAATTACTCCCAGTTAGGAAAAAAACAAAACAGAACAAAACCCTGTGTATAGGATCAAGGATATATAAAAGGATTGCACAGGGCACTGTTTTTAAATTGTTTTGTTGTGTGTGTGTGTGTGTGTATATATATATATTCTCTTTATCTAATCTATCTAATCTATCTATCTATCTATCTATCTATCTATCTATCTCAACAACATATATCATTGTTCTGTTCCATCCTTTGGGAAACAATGGAGTTTCATGGGCCTTGAGGTACAATATTTCCTAGCTCTCTCGCTCCCCAAGCCAAAGTCATTACGGGCTATTTCCTTAAAACAAAAGCCCCATAACAATTTCACCCAAAATGGCTCGGCTTCGACCTTACTAGGGCACAGCTCCCATAGTAGGTGGATGTATGATTTTCGGCCCACATTTTACACGAGGGTTGCTGGTTGGTGGTGGTGTTGTTTTTCCTGCTTTTTTGTTGCCGGGTTGCAGATATTTAAAAGTCTTGGACAGATTTTTTAAACTAGCAAGGGAGGAATCTGCAAAAAGGAGAATAAACAACTCATTAAAATGAAATGCTTCACTAAAATAAATGGGCTTCTACCCAATTCAACATAAGAGTACCCAACAAGCATGAGGAGGAATTCGTTTATTAGACCTATTGTTGCTCAGCTTTAAAAATGCAAGACTGCTGAAAATACAATCAATGGAAGGGGAGAATTGCAAATTTGATTTGCTTGGGTGTCACTTTAAAGACTCGCACGCCCCTGTATCTTGGTGCGTTAGCGTTTGCGATGGTCATGGAAAAGGCTTTCCTTGGTATTTGGTTACTGCTCCCTCTGAACTCAATGGCAATCGGAGCATTGGATTGCACGGATTTAAAACTTTATTTGTCAGACCTACGCGGTCTCCCTGCGCTACATGAACAGGCTTTATGGGGCTCATCCTATATTCCTTAGTCAGGCAAAACTGGCAATGGGAGTGTTGCTTGAGTAAGGACAACAGAATAGGATCCCTTATCTCTCTATATCTAGTACCGAAAAGATATAGAAAATATTAACGCCAAAAGAAAACTAACAGAATTAGCTGGTATACTCGTTGTGCTTCTGTTATAGATAGGTAGAGACCGGATACAGTTATTCGTATTCAGATATTTTTAAAGCAAAACGAATCCTTCTATTAAACTCCCCGCTGAGTCAATAAGGCGCAAGGTATTGAATACAAATAAGGTGCATGTCGCATGGTCATTTTCTAAACAAAATAATATATCCATAGCCTACGGTAGGAAGGACCTAGTTGAGCCTGTGCTGTATTGCTCATCCAAACAGCTAAAGGGGCGTTGCAGACAGGGTATTTTCGTGCAGGAATCTATCTCTGGAGTTCTGGACACAATGTTTAGACAGGATAGGGCACTGGGAGAATGAGGCAGGTACTTATTTTTAAAGGTTGGATCTCAAACTGAAAAAAATATTCCAAGGGATAATTTATGAAGATGAAAGTGCCCATCAGCAAGTTAGTATAAATAGGCACAGAGGTGGTGACAGGATTGTATTTATTGACAGTCATTTTCTATTATTTTCCCTCTGTGTTTGCGAGCCAGGTTAAGTTGGCGGTTTTCTTAATATGTGATTCTTAATATGGACTTTTTTTAGGACAGGTTAAAAAAAATCCTATATAGCCAATAAATACACCTACTTTCTATGCCTTATGGAAAAAAAAGTTTCCTTGAGGCGTATTAGTCAGGGTTTATTTGCTCACAAAGTTTTACTTTTTGAGTAAAGTTTTTTTTTCCTTTAAACCATCAGATTAAATAGATTTCAGAAGTATGTGTTTGACTGGCAGAGAGAAAGAGAGAGAGAAAATCGAGGATATGATATAAACCCAGTTCCAGACCATGTGTAATCCGTTGTCCAGGAACATAATTAAGTGGTTGTAACGTAGGGTTCTGTTGTAAGCACAGTGCTGTCCTTTGCGGCGAATTAGGGTTTCCATCTGCAATTTACAACCGACAAATATGCACAGAGAAAAAAAAGGATCTTCACATTGAAAACAAATATGTCTCCCCTAGGTAGAAAAAATAAATTAAAATAGCCATTGCAATTTCATCCTTATTCCTCGCAGATTAGGGGATCTGCACCTTTTATACCTTCATTCATTATTATAGCCAAAGCTATAGGGAAGAAATGCATCCAACTCTCTCTCTCTCTCTCTCTCTCTCTCTCTCTCACACACCCACACACACACACACACACG